AGTAGAAAAATGCATTTAGAGTACCAAAAATCTAAAGAAAAAAAATTGGCTGCCGGTGCCTAATTTAATGTCTCTACTCAGTATTCACCATGCATATCCTGTTCCCACAATCCTCATTGTGTGCACACTGTAAAAGAGATCAGGGGGGGAGATGTCTGGCATGAGATGGATCATTAGCTCCCACTGCTGTGCTTTGGTTAAATTAGTGAGTTTTTTCACTGATTGACTTTAAAGAGCTGGATAGGTTCTTTAAATTGTTCAGGCATGAATTAGCAGTGTCTACAGAAGACCATATTAATAAATATAAATGTGAAGCTTTCCTCTTGTTGCCGAATAAGCAGTGAAAGTTGTTTTGCTTGCCTTTTAATGCTTTATTTTTGCAACGGATGCTCAAACAGGTGTGTCTGATGCGAGGCCTTTTCATCCGATGCTTTCAGTTCACAGGAATGATGCACCCGTCACTGTATTGCATGGAGCAGAAAATCTGAGAACAAAAACCTGTCAGGTATTGCATTGTGGCCAATATCTCCCAGAGAGACTTTGAAGCAGATGCGGTTTTTTTCAATAAAGGTTTTGTTCGGTTTGGAACAGCTTGTTTGAATTTGACTTGAATGAAGGTTTTGAGTTCTGATCATATTGTGTGCAAACCACATCAAGACTGGCTTGACTGCAGTAACGTACGTGTGTGTGGGGGGGGTGTTAATGATTGAATATTATTTTTGCTCACGCATACGAAACAGTAAAGATCAGCTGAAAGGAAATTGAAAACTTTCATATTCATCGTGTACAGTTTAGTTTATAAATAGAAATGTAGTGAGTTACAAGGTGTTAATAAATGGAGATGTACTGAGAAATTGGCTGCTGACCAGAAATGCATGATATTCACCGTGTTCATCCCTGGTGAGCTGTGAAAGGCTGGTAAGAAACTTAAAAATACAATATATTTTTAGTTGTTTAAAGCCCAGCATTGTGGATGGCTGCTTTTACTGACAGAAGATTGAGAAGAAGATTTGAAGTTTGCTGGTAATCAAAAAAGCTTTTAAAATGGAGCCTGAGGAAGCCCAGACATGAGAGATGGAAACTGGTTTGTCTACATGTTGAGAAATGTCTGTCTTTCATTCAGGTTGCAAAAGAGGGTGAGACTTGAAGCAGGTAACACAAAGGATGGATTGTGTACAGTTTTTTTTCTGTCCATTTGAAATGTCAGCCTTTGAAATATGCTGCATGTAGAAAGATGCATGTTTGGGGAAAAAAATGCAAAGCCCACATTTTAGCAATACCATCTCTGCTGACTGCACGGCTAAAATAATTTAAAAAGTCAACTTTTTGTGAAAGTAAAATTATTGTTTGAAAATAATATTTTTGGAATTGCTCTTTTACACTTACAGCATAACATGACCTCTACTTATGTTTCACCGTTAATGAAAGAAAGGCTATGCTAACATAGTTTTAATACCTTTTCTTTACAAAGTACTATTAAAATTGGCCACAGGTTGTAACACAAGTTGAAAGCTTTACAAAAATCTTAGACCAGAAGTCATCCACAAACTTCAAATTGCTTCATGTTGATAATTTCTTTAACACTCCAGTTTCTGGAGGTAATTCAGTTCACTTACCTTTATTGCCATTGTGACATACAACAAAATTCAAAAATGTCTTTCATTTGGTTGGTAATGAAAACGGCATGTAAACAAACATTTTGCAAAGGGTAGTTTTCAAACTATTTTGATGAAACTTGTCTAATTGTTTGATTCTGTATATTCAGAGTTTAATTTAATTCACATTTAACTCAGTATATTCAGTTACATTGCTTATCCATGCTGTCTTTCATTCTCTACGCATTAAATTAGGAAAATATTTGTATATTTGTGTAAAAAAATAAAATAAAATAGAAATTTCCACGTTTTAAACCAGTCATATTGTACGTATTGTAGGACTTTTGCACATTAAAAATAAAAAATGCTTTGTGTGAAACTATTGAGGTCTAACTAATCTTTATGGAAACAACTACAGCATTGATTTCTTCGCCTTTGTAACAACTCCTCCTTTGAATATTTCTTAGAAGCCACCACATGAGGTTCGGTATAAGATCAGAAACCCACCAGCTGAATAAGGACGCTGCATCTTCAGACATTTGTTGCCTAATATATCAAAGTAATCCTTTTATATAATAATCAAAATTCTTTGTAGTGTTCTGCTTGAGGGTGACAAAGCAGCAGCACCGCAGAAGCTAAGGGGCTGCATTCTAATAAACTTTGTGGACTGCAGGGAGAACCGTGGATAACGGATCCAGAATGCATCTGTGAACGTTTCAGGATAGGAATGCAGCAGAGGGTAAATCGTATAATAGGAATCTCAACGAAAGTCGAAATATTTATTACACAGTGCTGCTGTATAAATCCCAGTTACAATGACAATTTTACAAGCTGATTGTGATACCAGTGGTTTCCTGCAGTGGTTCATTTTGACACCACCAGGAATCATTTTGCTTCCGTCTTTAAAACATCAATTTCACATTACCGCTTGTAGAGCTGGAGCTGCTCAGAGCTTCATTAGACGACTTCTGTGTTTTTCCTAACAAGGGTATGTTCATCTGGAGGACTGCATTATGGACATGAGAAAGCTGGCTGACGCTGCCGCTACTCCAGGGACACTGCAGAACATTTGGCATTAAATTTCCACTGCTGCCTGACACACGTTGGAGTGTGTCTGCTGATTAAGGCTGCCAGCTGACCTCGCTGGACCTTAACAAGCATGTGGTGAAAAACATCACCAGGCTGTTCCCTGGGGTTCTTATTTAGGTGTTTTTCTCTCCAGCCAAGCTGAGTAACTGCAGTGCTTTACCAAAGTATACACTTTAGTGGAATTTCAACTAGCAGACTAAAAATAAGTACTTTTGTGTATACCTGTGAAGTGTAAGGACAAAAATACTTGCAAACAAAACTGGGTCTGTAAGGGGTTGTAAAACATCAAGGGCTGGACTTGTAACTAATAAAGGGGTGTCCCTGTCAAAAGCATTTGCAAGTCAAGACAATCTGATGGGGAAAAAAAAAAAAAAAACTGAAATCAAGCAAATAAAGTAGTTTGATTTGTTTTATTGTACAAAACAATGTTATTCATCCTAGATTCAAAACATAAAAGGAATTTTGCACATTTGCTGTATTTAAAGAAAGACATTTAGTTTTTGGATTCTTTTGGGCTCGATCGAACAAAATAATTTTCAGCTGTAAGAACAGGACTTCACTTTCTTTCAAAATGCTTCTCTAGCCAATTAAATAAAAGCTGATTTGGGTACTGAAAAGTTGGGTTTTCAGTTAGTCTCTGGATAAACATGGTTCTACGTATTATACAAATTTGGTCATAAAAACATGAATACTTTGTGTTGCGCTCAACATTTTCCATAATAAGAAAATGATGTTGGTAATAATTTTATTTTGATTACAGATGAAGACCTGTGCTGGATGGGCCAAATTTGTATCAGTCTTGAACTGCATTTGGAAGGGGGTCACACAAAATCAGTCCAAGGGCCATAAATGACTCCCACTTTGGACACCCCTGAACTAATAAGTTAGGTAGCCCAGCTAATGTTAATACCTAAATCCAATCGGGAATCTTTGAGATGAGAAAATTGACGTTCAGAGATGCTCACCATCAAATCTGACTGAGCTTGAGCTGTTTTGCAAAGAAGAGGGCAAAGGTTTAGTTTCTGTTTGTGCAAAGCTGATCGACACGTACCCCAAAAGACTTGCAACTGTAAGTACAGCTCACAGGTGGTCTTACAAAATACTATATCAGGGGGACTGAATACAGACGTACCCCACACCATTCAGATGTTTAATCCTAATATTTGGTGCTGATTTATGACAAAGTGTGAAAAAGCTCCAACTCTCTGCGCTATGTTTGATGGTTTAGTGAGTTCTCTTGCCATTGCAGCCATGAAGCTGTGAGGCTGCAGGAGGCAGCCGCGACGAACATGATGGAGGAGGCTGCCAGTCAACTGGAGAGGGACCATGTGCACAGTGTCTATGACAAGATTGCTCCATATTTCAATGACAGCCGCTACAAAGCCTGGCCGAAAGTGCGGCAGTTCCTGCTGGACCTGCCTCCAGGGAGCATCGTGGCCGACATCGGTGGGCGTCGCCTCAGAAATGTGATGACATGATAATTACAGCAATGTCCTTTTTTGTTGTTCTTGTCTATATTCACATCATTTAAAAGAGGCTTAAAATACAACAGCAAATGAATACTGCATGTAATGAATATATATACTTTATATATATATATATATATATATATATATATATATATATATATATATATAAACTGTTTTGTTGCAGGTTGTGGCAATGGCAAATACCTTCATATCAACAAGGAGGTGTTCAAGCTGGGGTGTGATGTTTGTCGCCCCCTGGTGGACTTTGCTTGGAGCCAAGGACACGAGGTCCAGATGTGCGACGGCCTGCGCTTGCCTTACAGAGACGGCTGCTTTGATGCTGTGCTCTCTATAGCCGGTATTGGACACACACAGTCACACACACACACATGCACACACACAGTTAAAGATGACTAACGCAGCTTATTACTCCCTTCGTATGCATGAGCTCAACATCTGTAGCTGCCATTTGGTGTAAATTTCATTACCACGTCTAATGATAAACATCAGTTTACAGCACCATGTGTTGCCAAGTCAACAGTGTGAAATAATTCATGTTTCCTCCAACTAACAGTGTAATATTATGCTCAGTTAGGGCAGCAGTCAAAAACACAGTTACAGTGTGTACTCTCAGTGCATGGCATGATTTGTTTCTTACAAGTGTTGACACGTAATAATCAAGTAGTGTCTTGGAAAAGTATCTACCCGTTGAATTCCTTTTTATGTTTTGTCATATTAAAATCACAGACTTCAATTTTATTGGGATCTTGGGTGAAAGACCAAAACAAATGAGTGCATTGTTGTAAAATAGAAAGGAGAATTATTGGTTTTCGAAACCGAAAGCGTCATGCGTTTTCTGTCATCTTTGTCTGATACTCTAGAATAAAAGCCACCATTTATCATTCTGTTGTATGAAAATGCAAAGACTCACAATGAAAAAACCTCCTGAGACATAATCACTCACCCAAACCATGTGGGTGGTTTTGTAGGCCCTTTGCAATCATAAGAACTTTGTCCTGTAATGTTATAAATCTAAGTAGTGTTTCAGTGTTTAAACTGAATAGCAAAGGGTTTGATTTAATATCTGCAGTGAATTTCAACAAGACAGAGACAATAATGGCACTTTTGTTTGTTCAGATCTCTTGTAAAGGGGGTCAACATTAAGAGAGCACAAAGCCTCAAACCAATTTGCTATTTTAATTTTTTTTTTTTTTTTTTGAGGGGGCTCACGAGATTTATGAGCCCTGGGTTGGTGTTCACCAGGACAATGACTTTAAATGCACAGCCAGAGCTATGTTCAAGAGTTAGATTTTCACATTCAAGTTCAGAACCTAAACTAAAAAGTTATGCTACACTTTTCAGATTTTTTTCATTGATAAGAAAAATCTTGGAAACCCAAGTATCATCTTCCTTTCTCTTTATGTAAGTGTGATACTTGTGTAGGTCAGTCACACATTCCAGTTAAATAGACTGAAGTTGGTGCTTGTAACAAGGCAAAACGTGAGAAGGTTCAAAGAGAATAGATACTTTCCCAGGGCATTGTAAACATCTTCCCTCCATCTTTCTTTATTCTGAAAAAAGCCTGTGTTTTGCACAGTCATTCATCATTTTTCCACCAAAGAGCGTCGCATTCGGGCAATAAAGGAGATGGCTCGCACGCTGCGAGTTGGCGGACGCATCATGATCTACGTGTGGGCCATGGAGCAGAAGCGGCGGAAATTCGAGAAACAGGACATCTTCGTGCCCTGGAACCCCAACCCTCATCTGTCCTCCAGCTTCAACAGAGACGACACCAAACCCAGGAGGCGGGCCGCGGCACAGAGCGTGAGTGAAGCCATTGACAACGCTGAGAACTACAGGAAGGTCAGAAGCACATCCTCTGTGGCCGATGAAGAAGATGCGACCCAGGCGGTGCCGCAGCAGAGGACACAGAGACTGTGGTTCTTTTCCAGGTCTCTGGATTCCGTGTTTGATTTTGGAAGCTTGGCCATCTCCTGGCCGTCCTCCAGAGACCTGAGACATTTACCGTCAGCCACAGGTGAAAACGAGGGGAACAAGCCCAACCAGCGGGCGAGAGGACGAGGCCTCATCAAACAGGTCTCGAGCTTCTTTTCCCCTCCGTCTGTGATCGGATCAGAGGAGGACGTTTTTGACTCGGACACAGACCTGCAAAAAGATCGGAACGATCCCGGAGGCCCTAGTAACCCAACCAACAATAACGGCAAAGAAAATCAGGGTGTCTCAGTATCTTTAGCACAGGAGTGTGGCTCACTCGCTCTGCCGGATCTTATTTCCTTGCAGCAGGAGAACCTGAGGCAGTCTGAAGATCAAAGCGCCGGGGGGCCAGTAGGAACAGGGCGACAGGAAGGCACACAGAGTCCTGAGGAGCAGGTAGAAGCTTCCTGTCTGAGGTACTATCACGTCTTCAGAGAGGGAGAGCTGGCAGAGCTGATAGAGCATCATGTCGAAGAGCTCCATGTCACACACAACTACTTTGACCACGCCAACTGGTGTGTGGTGGCAGAGAAGGTTCAGTTATGGAAAATTTGATTTTAACTCATGTTGTGTGTGGGCCAAATTTTAGCACTTCGCCACACGGTAACGCTTTACATTCAACGCAGGAAAATGTCTGTAAATGTGCAGTTGTAGCTACAGACACCCAGATCATTTCCTCTGCTTTTACATTATTATTATTATTAGCACTGATTTAAGATGGAGTCTTAAAGTAAAATGGTTCAGCTCAGAGCAAAGCAGTGTGCTAGGAAGGCATACTGTATAATAATAGTAATAATAATAACATTTTAAGTATTTATTCTGTGTGAAAGCAAGAGGTGGAAACCTTATGACACAACTTGAGCTTTCTTCTATTTATTTGAACTCTTTTCAAATCTAAGGGGATGTTGATGGTTGCACTGTTTTCCTTTTTGGGCTTAAAAGCCAAAGCGACTTAAGAAAGACTGACTGACATTATAAACTTCCATTGGTTTTGGTATTCTAATCATTTTATCTGTGTAGGAATCTTATTGTCTGCCTGTTTTATGAAAACATGGATGTTACCTCTGAGTATGTAGAGCCAAATGGACAGTATCTGTTTGTGTTCTCTGTTAGATGTTTAATAGATGGCTTATACAGTGCCTTACAAAAGTATTAATATTCCTTTTAACTTTTTTAGTCATGTCGCTGCCACAAACTTTATTTTAATTGATTGGGATTTTTATTTGATGGCGCATAATTCTGAAGAAATTGGGTTATTGTTTCATTATCTAACCCTGCCTTGAACCTTTTCATAACTAAAACCCTTCCACCCTGGTGTTTTTCAGTCTTCACTATTCAGTTTTTCTTTTACTAAAGTTCTCTAACCAATCTGTGATGCCCTTACAAAACTCTATTTATACTGAAAATTAAAGGTAGAAGGTGTTGTGCAACTTAAACATGCAACTTTTAGAGGTAATCGGGTTGGCTTTTATGTAGGAGTAATTGATTTGATGGGTCTAAATACAAATAGAAATCCACTTTTATATTTATTTTATTTTATTTTATTTATTTAAAAAAAAAACGACTACTTTGTGCTTGTCTATCGCCTCAAATCTTTGGAAAAATGTTATCTAGAAATATTCCATGGGGTGCGAATACTTTTGCAAGGCATTGTAAGTCATTTCTTTTACAAGTAGTGCTCTGAACAGCTTAGAACATCTTCTAAAATACTGGTGTTACCCGTCTTAAGTGTTTTGATGTTGATATCAGGAACAGCTGCATAATGTCTTGTAACAAGCAGAAAAAAAACCAGCAGTGTGTTTCAGCAAATAAACTGCCTCATTTACTGTGAATGAAACATTGCACTGTACCATTAACGTGTCACTGCTTCATGTCGGAAGATGGCAGAAAAAAGTGACGCTTTAAAATCTGACTCTGTGCTTTTATCTGTACTCATTGTGCCAAGAAGAATGAGTTTCTTTTTTTTTTTTTTAAATAAAGTCTGTGTGGACCAATTAATGTTGTGCGGCGTGGATACCTCAATGTCTCGTGGTTTTAAATTGCTTTTTCTTCATTAAATAATTTTGTCCATAATTGAGGTGTTGCAATAATGTTTAGGGTCATGATCCGTCTGTAACGTGAGATGCTGTGAACATGTCTATATTCTCAATATAACCTTGCATATCGTTATGTTTATAATCATGCATATGATTATACTCATAATGATATGCATCAACACGTCTTTTCCTTTACTGCTATATTAGCGCCATCTTTTGTACTTCACGGTTACCTTTCCCCAGTGATCTGGTAGAAGTTGGTCGTTTAAAAGGCTTATAGGAAAGTATATCGGGGATATTGCGGTTCCACAAAACCTTTTTTGATTCGTAGATCATTTCCACATGCGCTCCCATTAGGCTGTGTCTTTCCAGGACTTGTTTATGTTGGCACATTGAGTATTTTTTTTTATGTTGGTGTAAAAAAAAGGTGAACATTTAATCACAGGTAAACTGCTTTGTCTAAATTCCATACTAGTGAACAACAAAACAACAAAGGTACAAATCGTCAGCCTTTTCTTGTTGTTGCTTTCTATTTATTGGTTCTTAAAGGTCATGGTTCACCTTTTGGTTTTACATTCCACACTCCCTCCAAACCTGAAACAAGGAGAACACAAATGCAATAATTGTTCACTTTATATGTGAAACGATGTCTGGACCGATAAGATGTGTTTAGGACGCTGAGATTATTTTACCTGAGTAGCTGCTCTGTGGACGATGGAGTGCCTGAGGGCCAGTTTGTCGATGTCTCTGGAGTATCCCCCACCAATAACGGTAGCAATAGGAACACCTCTCTTCACCACAGTCTTCATCACATAAAGATCTCTCTGATAGAGCCCTAGAAGAAATAATACAGTGTTTGAAACCCTTTTTTTTTTTAGCAGAGAAGCTGGTTTTCAACAGCCAATCATAATTCCACCTGCCAATCAACCTTGATGACTGATTGGCAGATCTGAAACTCAAAACTCTGATGTTTTGTGTTTTAATTGGTGAACACAAAAGAGACCAAAAAGACTCCCAGTGGGACATGCCTGGAACATGTTCTTTTATTTTCTATAAAAATAAAAAAAAACAGTTTGAGGTTTTGGTTACTTCATATTAGAAAATTTTCTTCTTTTTGGTACAAAAAGTACCAACTTCAGCTCATAGTAAGAAGACTTAAAGTGTTGCAGCAAAGTTGCTTTATTCTAGATGTTTTGGAAATTTCAGCAGTGAGGCTATGGTTGAAATTTTCAAAGAAATGCACATACAATTCTGTTCAAAGTTAGCAATGCTAACAGTGCTAACTGTCAGCCAAAGTAAGCCAATAAAGCCAGTTAAAATGTTAACTTTGAAATTGTTCTTTTAAATATTACTTTAGAGTTACTGCTCTTCTCACACACCTGGTATGAAAGTTGTTTCTGCTCCTAGACTAAATAATTATTGGCTACAAAAAATGATCTGAATGCTGTAAATATTTTAGACTAACATTCGTGAAGAGAAACAGCAGTTGGCTTCAAGTGGTATCAGCAGGTTAAAGCTTTACAAAATCTCCCAAAAGCTGCATCTCTTCTTTTCAAAATTCAGGGTTTTTTTGTTGTTTTTTTTTTAGCATGCACTGTTGAGTTCTATACTTCAGATCTGGGGATTTTCCACTGCAGTAAATGGGCTCTTGCTGCTGAATATGGAGAAAACTGAGTGCCAGGGCAGCATCTGTCAGCAGCACTTTGAAGGCTGTTTTTGCTGAAAAAGCTGCACAGCTTGTTGGTGGAATATCAAATGTGTTTTCTTTTATCTATGTTATCAACAATCAAAGCATTAACTTATGGCTGCGCATCTTCTGATCCTGGAAACGTTTTACTGCAGCGCTTTACAAAATGAGCTTGAAGAACTGCAGCCTGCTTTTGCGGTATGACTTGACTTCCTTCTGGAACATTTCAGCACTGAGGTGTAAATGTGAAAACGGCTTCAGTGTGTACATAAGGATAACTGAATACTAGAGGAAGAACTCACCTTGATCGGTCAGACGGAGCCTCCCGAGTTCATCATCCCGATGTGGGTCAACACCAGCGTCGTACAGAACCAGGTCCGGACGAAAAGTCTCCAGCAGCCAGGGTAGGTGCTCTGCAACTGTTGATGACAGAATCAAGCAGTTTGAACTATAGAAATTCAATATTTTTACCTAAAAATGTCAAATATGCTCTTTGAGCCGAAAGAAACATTGTAGATTTTCTGAACGTCTTTGTGAACATGCCTGTGGAGAGATACTCCTTGTCTTCCAGCCCATCCTCCACGCTGATATCCAGGTCACTCTGTTGCTTGCGAACAGGGAAATTTTTCCCACAATGCACTGAAAATGTAAACACAGATGGCTCATCTTTAAATATGAAAGCGGTGCCGTCACCCTAAGGACACAGAAACAAGGAAGTTAAATAAAAGTCAATTCCAGAAATGAAAATAACTAAAAATGACAGAGAGAGTTAAAATCCACCTGGTGCACATCTAAATCCACGATTAAAACCTTTCTCTTCCTTGATGAGCTGTTCATGAGGTATTTGGCTGCGACTGCTAAATCATTGAGGAGACAGAACCCCGAGCCATAGCTGGGGAAAGCATGATGGGTTCCCCCCGCCGTGCTGCAGGTCAGACCCCTCCGTAGAGAGACTTCAGCAGCGAGAACAGTCCCACCTGTTTAGAAGCAGTCTGGATGTGAACTTTTCTATCCAGTCTAGCTGTCAGGCCTCCTGCTCAAATCTCGTTCTTCTTACCCGTTTCGTATCGGCACCGTCGCACGATGCCCTCGCTCCAAGGAAAACCCGTCCTCCGCTGCTCTTGCTCGTTTATTCTTCCACTTATGAAGTTGTTCAGGTAATCCCCAGTGTGCACGGCGCCGAGCAAGTCTTTCGAGGCAATCTCGGGAACCCAAACCTACTGTGAGGAAGGAGATTAACATTAACAGGAAACTGCACCTATTTTACTCACCTTAGGCTTTTCTTTAATAATCAACGTAGCTCTTTCATGTATTGTCAAGTTCCAACTTCAAACCTCTGTGTTTTTTACTGTGATTTAAGAAACAAACCAAGACAAAGCAGCTCGTAACTGTGAAGCTGAAGCAAAGTTGAGGTTCTCAGTCAATTTACCTTTCCCTTATTTCAAAACCTTATTTTATACCAAAGATAAATTAGTTTATTTTTTGTAGTAGTATGAGATAAATAATTGTAAAATGTCTCAACTAACTTACATAATTTCATTTGTTATGTATTATTTACCTGAAAACCCTCCATTGCACTCTGACTCGTTTGGAAGAGCTGACTCCAGCATTTTAAAATATATGACTGATAAGAGTTCCTAATGAAACCAAAATACTGGCTTCCATTTATTAAGAGTCATAAAACCACATTTCCTTACAGTAGATCATAAGTAACCATACAGTGGCAATCCCTAATCACAATTGATTAAATTATTGAGTTTATTTATTTCAATATTGAATTTGTCTTAATTTGGAAAGGTGGGAAATGATGACTAAAACCTGAAATTTCATTAAAAAAACACTTTGTAAGTCAGAAAAGTAACACTGCACGACACCCTGAATAGCCTAAAAGATTTTGTCTTGTAACCACAAAAAGTGGTTCTACAAGTAGTAGATGAATACAAATGAACACCACACGTTCACAGTTTTATAAATGAAAACAATTGAAATGTGTCCCATTCCTTCCACTTCACAATTGTATTGTTTTGGTTTACCATATAAAATCCCTGTAAAATGCAATGACATTTAAGGTTGTAATGACAAAATGTAGCATATTTCAAGGAATATGAGTAGTGCATTGTAGTTGTTAATGTCAACTATGTTCTCTATTACTAGTAGTTGTTTACAAGATTAAATAAAACTCAAAAATAACTGCATACAATGTCTGGCAGTTGCCAACAAAACAAAAACTTTGATACATTTTAACTGTGGTTCTTTAGTGTTTTTATTATTATTATTATTATTATTATTATTATTATTATTTATTTATTTATTTATTTATTTATTTTTTAAACGTGTGCATCTTTTGTTCCCCCTCAGGTTTTGGGATCTTTTCCTACCAGAATGTCATGCACTAAAAAAAATTGTTAGACAAATTGAAAAAATCTGAAAGTAAATGGGGAAAAGCAGCCAAAGAAAAGCAAAAGAAAATGATAAAACACGTTCAGAAGGCCTGGTTACCTACTTCCTACTACAGTTTAATCTACTGTCTTTCTCACCTGTCTCTCTGTGATGACTTGGTCTTGAAGTAAAAAGTGTAAAACTCTAGGAAACTTGGCCATTGGAAACCTGTGGTTTGCTGGAAGCTCGCACACATACTTGCTGTGATGAACAATGGGCAGTCCGCTGGATTCGGTTCTGACCTGTGGGGTGAGCAGGAGGTTCTCTGAGGTTTGGAAACCAGACGGGCTCATGCAATGTCAATACTCTGCCTCAGCGTTTGCAACAACCTGCAAGTCGTTTTTTTATGGAGCGTTAGTACTTACTAGTTCCGCATGGAAACATCTGCCAGAGGCGGGAGTGACTCCGACAAGGCATCCGACTGTAATGCGACGGGTTCTGGAAAATATTCTCTTCATGCAAGTCATTTCTTACTAATGTTGAATAACAGTTGCTTATCTAACAGAGGGAATTTTGTTGAATTTACTGTTCCTGCTGCTGCCATCTCCTGTCACGGAGTAGAAATCACGCAAAAATGTTTGTGTTGTGATGCCTTGTCTCCCTCTACTGTCCGTTATTGATCATTACACCAGAGGTTTACTACTGACCCTTTTAAGAATTAAATGGATCAATTTAGTTCAGTTATTATCCGGTCTAACAGGTTCGTTCTTACAAACGTCAGCCTGCAAGACAAAAATAAGAAAGCTTTAGTTTGAATCTATATTAAAAGCAGACTCTGCTCATAAAAGCACACCTTGTGTTAATTGATTTGTTTAACACCTTGTGTTAATGGGGTTAGGGATGAATAAATCCGTCATACCTATAGAAGTTTCATTGTGTGTTTTTTTATTTCTCAGAAGTTTACATTAAATTTTATTTAATTAAGCTGCTATGTTAAACATATTAACATAAATGACTTTTGCTGTTTCCAATGTCGTCACCATACTGTAAACAAGTTATTTATTTCCACGCAGTGTCCAGAAAGAGGTGTTGTTCTGCTTGTTGCCTAACACAGCTTCGGTCAGCATCCAGCGTTATTCATGTGCTTTTTTTTTAGGACATATTCCGTGCAGTTTTCTAAAGAAGTAATAAATTATTAAAAAGGTAGATTAGCTGTAGGGACCCAATCTGTAGTCAAACAGTAATAATAGTGACGCTAAACGGGATTAATGTCTTGTTTACAGTATGGTAACGAATCTGTAGCTGTAAATGTATATCTTGCACAATTTTTTATAACCCTTTAGCTTTTTTTTTATATTTTTAATCTTAAATTAAAAGGATAATTTTTAATTTAAAAAGTATCTTTTTAAATTAAAAATAAAAAAAATAATAAAAATTAAAAATGTTTAATTTTTAATTAATTAAATTTTTAATTTTTTTTAAATCAGATTTCTGTTGGTCACTGTTGGTCAATCTGATGGTGTGATTGACCAACGGAAATCTTAACATTACCACTACACCCCCTTGCAGAACTATTCATACAATTTAAACTGTTTTGCACATTACAGACACACAGTTAATCTGTAGAAATCTGCTGTTTCATGTAACAGACTAGCATAAAGCTGTGTAGACATGGAAGTTATAAGAAATAAGGTTTGTTTTTATTTCATATATTTTGCATAAATTCTTTGACATTTTCGTCACAAAGCAGTGAGATGATTGCCTTTATCTCTGTGAGGAAAGTCAATGAGCCTCTATGTTGATCTTCAGGTATTTGCTTCTTCATTGTCGTCCAGTGAGCTCGGTACTGAAACAGATTGTTCCTGTTTCATATCAGATCAGAACATAGGCAGTGTAGATGAGATAAAACATATAGCCCTCTTTGCTTTCACTTTGGGTCATTTTGAATTCCTTTTTCGCATGATGATCTGTATGCATGCTGGTTTCTTTCAAATAAAGCCAAACTGCATTAGAGACTTCTATGCAAATTAGTTACATTGATTATTCACAAGACTTCTTTCATCCTGGGCTTTTTCTCTCCTTTTGATTCAGGAAGTGATAAAAGCTTCTTTTACACTTAGATTTCTGAGCTTTCAAGCCATGGCAAATCACTCATCCTTCCTCCTGTATTGACATGGATGGGGATAGCTCTGCTCCTTTGAATTCACTGCACTTCCTTTCTTATTTTTTTTTCTTCCTTATTTGTCTGCACCCTAACTATCTCTCCACATTGAACTCATCCTCTTTAGCAACCACCTTAATAAGGATGAATAGTATTGCTAAGTAAGCATTAGAAATACTTACATTTTATGTAACAATACCAACATAGTATTTGACTCTTGCTATTGTGTCTGGGTTCACTCCTTCTTCTGTCTGCTTTAAATTACTGGCAGGTAGCTCAAGGCACCGTCTGGCATGCTCTCGTCTCCGGGGATCTCCTGCAAATGTGTGTGTGGGTTTGATGAGTCTGGTATAGGGGGATTAACTTAACCCCCACCCGGGAAACGCGAGTTTATTCACAGTCAGATAAGAAAAAAAAGACGAGTGTGGTGGCCCCAGGTGCACAGAAGAAATCTTTGCATAATGGAGAAAGGAGATTAGAAAGCTAATTCAATTACTGACTTCTGCTCTGTTAAAAGGCGTTTCAAATATATAGAGATGAAGGGGGAGACGGCACTCGCTTCGCAAATGGAGGTTTCCAATTTATTTTGACAGAGCAATTGTGTGGCTTTTTTTCAAATGTTGAAGGTTATATTAATTCATTATCATGTAGGCTCTTCATACCGCTCCTTTTAGGCAAATGTTCTCTCTTTTTAAACAGATCCCTTGAACCTTACTTCTACGGTGACATTTTTTAAGCAGTCTTTTTGCTCTTTTATTTAATATTGTATGAGGCACACAGGTTTATAAATTCTAAAGGCAATACAAAGGCAACAAGGTTGTCAGTTGTTTAGCCAGAGTGCAGCTGTTGAGATGCAACCTACTCTGTGTTATCTAATCACACCATTTCTAATAAATAATCTTGTCTTTATCTCTAAAAAGTCTAAAATCTAGAAAATAATTTCCAACAATTAATTCTTGTCCAAAGTGGACCATCATATCCTCAGTGCAGTTTGCATTCACTCATCATGGGCATGAAAGTTCCATTTTTTAACGGTGCTGTTGGAATGAAGGTAAAAAACTTAAATCTTCACTGGGTTACATTTATTGCAAATTCTTTCTAATTCAAACAGGGTCTAAATATATGTATGTTAATGAGCTTTGACACCTTGACAACCTGTTTTTACAACCGCCAAAAGGTTTCCTGCATGATTCTGGTTGAATATTTGATCACTCATCTATGAGTTATTCTTTTTTCTATCTCTAATATGCCAAAACCTTGACAAGCCAGGCTTTTGGCTTGCCTTAGTGTGCTGCTGGAATTGTTTCTCATGTTTGTAGATGCTGATTTTAGATCTGGGGCCTTTTGTTTAATCAGAAACCTCTTATTTAACGGTAATGTGAAACTACTTCACTGTGAACAGGGACAATAATGTTTCTGTAGCTTCCTTTTCATTATACAATTGATTCTCTGTGGTTCCCGAAATGTTATGATCATGATACAGTTCCCTTTTATTTGAGGGGTGACAGTTTGAGTCTAGTTTAATTTGGTGCTCCAACTAGAGAATGATCCCGTACATGAAAACAGATTTGGGAATGGGCAAAGTAGACCAACACTGAATGCAGTCTCTTGGAGAATCAGCACTAGTTTCAGGTGAGGTGGGCTCCACCTTAGTCAGTCCACCACAGCGACACACACACAGGACATTCCACAGTAAAATAAAATATTTTCGTTGTGCATTTTTCCGTGTCTTTAGGGTCGGCTGTTCTTAAAGCAGCTCTCATTACCTGTCATCACAAAGATCAAGCAGAAAGCCGTAGAGTTGATCTAATATTTGTTCTTCTCATCACTCTAAATTCATGTTGAATTTTTACTGTTTTTTTTTAAGATGTTTTTTTCTCACTCTCTCAACGCAGTGTTGTAAAACTTAATAATGTAATTGCCTTGTAATCTGCACACAGATGTGATTGATTATCCTCTGGACTTACCATGCATTTATCTAAATGAATAGCTCTGCCACTTCTTAATAGCACCGTCAAGCAGGCCGGTATTTTCTTGCACCAGGAGGCCTTTTTGTGTTTGTTGTCGCGGCGCAGTGCGGCGCTGGGTGGTGTAACGTTTGCATCAGACACCAGATTTGATCGTACCTGTCAATTACACAACGTCAAAATCGCAACGTCGAGCCCACTAACCCCTCCGTCGACTCGTCTTCACCCTCCACCTCACGGCTTTGAGCGGAAGGAATTTGCTGGTAGATTGCAAGGCCTGGCAGAGCATGTTGCAGCAGGTGAGGGCAGGGGCTGTTATTGGAGGGAATTAATCTGTAGCTGCTGTTGGTGTGTGACTGTGACGGCCTCATTCCTCAAAGGCAATCCCCCAGTCACATTGATTTCTTTCCCCTCACATCTCTGTCCTCCAATAAGACCTGACAAACAGGGGAGTCTATGTGTGTGTGTGTATAAGTGTGTGTATGTGCCACACTGCAATTTTCATTCACTGTCGACATCTGTTTGTTCATTGACGCTGGAAATTATATCCGCTTTACTCTCCATCATCTCTCATTGTTTGGAAGTGTCCTTGCAGATTACTGAGCCCTGTTGTGTCTCTGTCATGCGTTTTGTCAAAGCGTTGAGCGACGAGACTCTGTTTTTGTTAAATAATGCTGTTACCGGTTGTTCATTTGCAGGAATTTATGTTGAGCATTAAAAAAAAAAAAGTAAAAAATCCAGATACACAAACACTTGTAACAAAGCCACGCAGCACCACTTTGAATCTTTACAACACGTCTAACTAAATGACAATCACTTTTGCTTAAAGAGTGCCTTGAACAGTTTTAGCTGTAATGCGCATCACCATGGAGATCTTCCTATTGCTCTTTCCTTGCTAATTTTTTTAGCAGCAGAAATAAGTTGGTCTTTTAGAGCCAATTGCCAAACCAGACGACCATCTGCTGCCTGCCAAATGTGACACATCTCATGGGTGTTTAAGGAACACTTGATCCAATCATTAAATGGCAGGTGGGAATTTAAGCACTTGCTCGGGAGTCAGTCACATGGCCAGATTCTGTTTCTTCCTTCCCAACTGTATATGTATATATACATTTATCAACCAGTGTAATAGCTTTTTCTGAAATATCGCACAAGCTTTAAGCCAAAGCTAACAGAACACACACACTTAAGACAAAAAATTCTGTTTTGCCTCATTATTTTCCCAAATGTTTTGGAGATCATAAAAATGTTTATTTTTTTTCTCTCTCTTTGCTTAAGTTCATTGGTTAAGCGATTGTAAAGAAAATATTCAGTGCTTCCATCAGATGCCAAATTATGGGATTATGTCCATTTTTCATATGTTCGGCCCTGAAACGGGCAGCTTTTCACAGCTCGGTCTGAAACCTGCATCATGAATTATGTAAACTTTGCACATGCAATAGCTGCGTGATGTTGGTGCAGCTCCTCAGATTGCTAACGTTTGAAGCCACAGACAGCAGTGATAATGCAGAACATCTGTCCGTGATCTGTGGTATGATAGAAATCTGAAGGCACATCAAACAGCAACAGAGATGTTGAGTCAGACTGTGGTATCGCTGGA